GTGTGTGTGTGTGTGTGTGTGTGTGTGTGTCACATGGGGCAGTCACTTTCAATGGCCTATTGAAGACCGTGAGCAGCATCCCATCTTTGCTTTCCTCCAAAAGAGGTCAAAGCTCCTTTGTTTGGGGTCTCGGTTCCATGGACAAGTAAGTACATGAATGAATGCAATGAGGGTACGCCTAGACCCACAGGGTGGGGGGTGGTGGTGGCCTGTCATTGGTTTGTGTCGCGTATGGTCCATGCTCATCGTAATAACGTAATCGCTGCGGTCGATCTCATTAAATCGCCTCGGGTCAATCCAAATAGCTTCCGCCACAATTTGGCCTGCACATGTACGTGATCGACCACCCCCCATCTTGACCTAGCGAAACAGCAAGGACTCTATTCTATGTGGGTGTGAGAAGCATTTCACTTGAAGAAAGAAGAACGCTCGATGTATGTGGGTGGTCGAACGTGACGATCCATCCGATGGAGACTTCATTCTACCTGCAGACCTTTTCCAACAAGCCATGATTCGATACATATATGTGGGAAGGAACACTCGGCTGTGTGTCTGAAAGCGTTGGAATGGAACAACACCTTTGACTAGGCTCTGTAGGTGGTGGTCTCTTACCGTTAAGTGCCCGACACAGGAAAAGTTTTTAGAGGTTAGAGTAGTCGCGAGATGACAAGAGGAGGGAGGGTTCATCGAGAAAGTGTTTGTTTGGATGGCTTCTCTCTCTAGCATCGACGTGTGCAATGTCATCGTAATAGATAGGTAAGCTAGGGATTAGGTTTCGGACCACATCCTATGGTTAGACAACCTTGCCGATTTTTCTGGTAGCAGTAGCGGTAGTGGTAGGATGACGATGGAATAGTGCGGTGGACCACCACGCACACGTCTCATGACTCTGTTCTTGAAGCACATGGAAGGATGATGACCAGCCACCGCCACCGCCATGTTCAATGCACCCTCTTCTTCTAATCTGAATGTCCGGCAATTAAGATGATGGACCCGATAGTGGTTGCAAGGGAAAGAGGGCAAGGCACCACCTCCCTCCATCCAAGAACATGATGCTTACCCTCAGAACCGTAAATGGGATGCAAGGCGAAAAAGTTGAGGAAGCAAAGCTATCGTCAACGCCGAGTGGTGTCCTATCAAGTAAATTAGCTATAGCTAGCTAGCTAGGATTGTAGTAGCAAAACCTAACCTTTTTTCATTAATAAACAAACTGGTGAATTCATTAGTATCTTTTGATGGATTCCATGAATCGATTCGAACAGCAATGGTGCTGGCGTGTTTCTACACAAGACTATGACTGAAAACGACACAATATACTCTCTTACGCTCCGCCTCCGCCGCCGCCGCAAACTTACCCATCCAATAATCCACGCCGGGAGGAGGTTTGAGGCTCCGCACAATTCCTGGCTGCCTCAGCTTCTTCTTCCCACCGCTAATTAATGTGCTTCGCTTCGTGGTGGACGGGCAAGAGAAATATACGAGTCAAATATCTCCGTGAGTTTAAAGTTTCAAAATAATAATAATAATAATAATAATAATCGGTGATGGTTAAGTTGGACCAACTTCTATTTGTTTAAACCCCCCCCCCCCCCACCCCCACCCCTTCTCCCCTAAAAGCAAATACTGGAGCAGCTTACAAAGTTCACTCATTAAGTTATTCTGCAAGGTGCTTGCTTTGCCATTACCTTTTACGAGTCAAAAGAAGCACCGACGAACCGATGAGTGTTTGATTCTGCATATAATATAATACAACCTTTTTCTGTCGCTCCTCGAATGGCGTGTTCCGGGCGGCATAATGATTGCTTACAATTGTGAGGAGTCCTTCCATCACATCAGCTAATGCTTGACGCAAATAATTCATTGTGGTGGAACATTCTCCCCTTCCTTCACAGGGTCTAGAAAGATGAAAGGAAGGCTACGCTACCGATTAGTCAGTCCAAAACGAGAGGGCCATGCCCATCAAATCTTCCACCACTTCTCAAGAGATTCAAACCCTGTAAACCAAACACCAACTGAATGAATGCCTACCGTATGTATCTCCTCCTCATTTTCTTCCTAACATTTAGCTCCTCACAGGAGCATACCAACATTTTGGCAGCAGAAATGACGTTTAAGCTTGTTCTGAATAGCTAACCTATAACCAAAACGACTAAAATCGACTACAGAAAACAATCTAATCACTAATTTTTGTATCCTTCTCATCATCACACTTCAAATATGCCCTTATCTGAGAGACAACCTTCCATGAATGACTTCTCACTGAATTTTTCCTAGACATAGCATCCCACTCACACATCTATTCTAAGGTCCACCGTACAAGACATAATTTATCGATGAAGCATGCATTACCGACATGTTGACAACATAGAGCTACATGACAGCACAACAAGAAACCGAGACAGAGATAGCAAACAAAACCAAACGCCAATCTGCGAACCACTTAACCAAAAAGCATCAGAACAAACTTAAACTTTGTTAGCAAGGTCACAGATTCTGTTGCTGCTGGTCGCATTGCCATGTCCAAACAATATGTTTAAGGGCCGGTCTTATGTCCTGCGTCCACATCTCCTCGTATTCCAAGGCATCCCCTTGGGTCTTCTTGATCTCCACGATATGAAATTTTGGAGCAATCTCAAAAATCTCAGCATCAATGCCCAAAACCCCCCTTCGTCCAACCTTTGATCCTTCCATTCTTAGTACCCCGTAATCCTTTTTCTTCACTTTTAGCTTCAGGCGCTTGGCTATTTCCTCCAGTTTTGAGATTATTGAAGAAGCTGGCTGGTCAGACGCGAATCTTACCTCTCTCCTGTGATCGGTCTCCTCAAATAAACCTGAAAGATCAAATCCTGCCGAATGAGAGATGATGTCAAAAGCATTTAAATTAGCAAGTTTTCCCATCTCCTCTTTTGCCTCAACACCGTTGCTACCGCAGGAATCAAACACTTCATCAACATCATCAGAAGGATCAATTTCCTGTGTTGCCTTCTTATCGTTCAATAATTTTCCATCAAGTCCCTTTCTGAACCAAGAATTTTCCATAATTTTTGCAATCACCATTCTAGTATTTGGATTTGGGTCTAGAATTCGCACAAGCAGTCTCCTAACATCCAATGGGAACAAACCCATGCATTTGAAGTCGGCTTTTACAATTTTCCTATACATCTCCATCAGATTTGAATCAAGGAAAGGGAGATAACCAGCCATGAGAACAAACAAAATCACCCCGCAAGACCAGATATCAGCTTTTGCACCGTCATATCCTTTTCTGCTGATCACCTCAGGAGCAACATATGCTGGAGTACCACATGCTGTGTGGAGCAAACCATCCTGCCTTTTGGACTCAGCAAGAGCACTCAAGCCAAAATCTGAAACCTTCAAATTTCCATTTTCATCAATAAGAAGGTTTTCAAGTTTCAAATCGCGGTGATAGACACCTTTGCTGTGGCAGAAATCCACGACACTGATCAGCTGCTGAAAATATTTCCGTGCAACATTTTCTTTGAGCCTACCTTTCGCAATCTTGTTAAATAGCTCACCACCTTTTACATATTCCAGGATAAAGTATATCTTAGATTTTGTGGCCATTACCTCATAAAGCTGCACAACATTTGGGTGACTCACCAATCGCATCACAGCAATCTCTCGCTTTATCTGATCGGTAAGACCTATCTTCATGACCTTCTCTTTGTCGATCACTTTTACAGCCACGCCCTGGGAAGTTTTCAAATTCCTAGCGTAGTAAACTTTAGCAAAAGTTCCTTTGCCTAGGAATCTCCCGAACTCATACTTCTGCATCAACACACTTCCTTTACTTTCCATTTCCATCTCTAATATAGCAAGGACACTGGGGAAAAAATTGTCTTAAACCCCCCTGCTAGAGTGTAATATACTATTACGGAATTCAATATCCAGCAAAGCTGAGCTCAACCATCTTCCACAAGGTCATAAGACATCAAAGCCACTGGAACAATTATAGATCCACTATGTGACTGTGTATCTAGCATGGATTGGAAATGAATGTGTACTGTAGCATCCTCAAAGACGAACAATGGTAGCTTATCCAGAGCAACACCATGGTAATTAACCTTAGAAAAGGTTCTTGTGTGCAAGCACATCTTTCAGCATTCCGTGATAATTGTCTTCCTAATTTTTGCTGGCGACAATGAAAGAAACATAGTGATGTCAGCAAATCACAGTTTAATTGCATATTTACAGGATGACTGGCAGGTCCCACAAATAGGATTGAAAAGGTTAACTTAAGTTGGTCCAGTTGAGTCATCAAGCTTCGCTCAGTTACGGTGTTGTGACTGCTTAAATAACTTAAATAGTTTTGCATGTATGTTTCGAATATTAGTGATCTTATATAACCATAAGTTTCTTATTCCTTGATTATTCAAAGTGCTGAATCGAACAGAAATTAGTCAGAAGGGTAATGATTGTAAAAAACTATTTCCCCTTCTATCTTCCATGACCTCTACTTTACCACGTATTGATCAATATTTTTCACCGCTCTTGATTTCTATGGTATACCCGTAAGGTTCTGATTAATTGATTAATTGAAGCATTAAATCGAATAGAAATTAGCAAGAAGGGTGGTGATTGTAAATAGTTGTTTCCTGTTTTATCTTCCATAAACTCTACTTTCCCACTTATTCATCAATACATCCTACTGCCCTCAATTTCCGTAACCAATTGTGTTATAGAAGGAATCATAATATGATTAATAGTAAGCCGCTGTTTGCAGATTTTTCATCCTGTTCGTAATCACATTCGAGGCAATTATGTAAACTAACAAAAGCATTATAAACTTCGTAATCACATTAACCAATTATGTAAACTAACAAAAGCATTATAAACTTCTTAATCACATTCGAGGCAAATGATTTTGAAAGACTTGCCAAAGATTTGCATAAAACGTGAAAGGATTGATGACGTACTTTAGACAAGCCAGTCTAGAAAGCAGCATACATACAGAATAAGCAATGGTTTATGCTAATGATGAGAGAATTCAGGCTAAGGATTACATAACAAATGCAAGATTTTCAAAACCATCAACTATATAACTTATAAAGTAAGAATGATGTGAAAAAAGCTGTAAGATAGTAAATCCACCAAACAGATCATTCCAATGCTAGTCCGGAACATCAGATTCAAGAATGTTTAGAATCCGAAGTAATACTACAATCAGACAGTTTCTGGAGATACGAAGTGGTAATTAAAACTGAGATTATATGGGCAGTTTAAAAGCAAACATCAATCTCAAAACACAAAAACAGTTAAAACCCCAACACAAATGTCTACACAAAAGAACCCTACATCAAGCCAAGAAACCCTCGACGACGATATGATATAATCAAGAAACGAGATCGACCGCATATTAGAATCTAACGAAACGGAATAAATCCTTCTTTCACGTCATACCCACCGGAACCAGATTTTTCAAAGAGAACACACACCATCGAAATCGGATCTCTCGTGGAGATAAAACCCGAGAAAAACCAATCGCCAAAATGAAATAAATACACTGACAGGAAACGAGCAGCGAGAATACCTTACGAACCGACGGCGAGCGTGGTGGCGATGCCCAGGATGAATCGCCAAGAGCGATAACAAGAAACGGGAGAGAGGAGTTGAGAAACCCCAACCCCTCGCCGTCCTTTTAATTTCGCCTCTCCCTCCCAAAATAGAGAGTATGCCGCTCTGTCCGAAGTAGATTACCAAAAACACCCCTCAGCCGGCCTCCTCTTGTGTAGGTGTAGCGCATCATTTCGATTGGCCCCCATTCGTCGTTACCTTCCCGTCCTTGCAATTTTATGATTGATGGTTACTAAACTTAGTCGACTCACCCAAATTAGCATCAAATTATGGAATTAAACAATACGTTAGAATTATTTCAGGTCAATTAAAAGACGAGTCTTTGTTGTCTTATTTTAGTTTATGCTAATAAATCACATCGATTAAGCAAATTATGCACCGATAAGATCTTTTCCCAAGACAGTATACAAATGCCAATTTAATTTCAAGTTTATTAATGAAATATGGATTCTTTGTATGCCAAGAATGGTACGTTGGCAATTGTGATACGAGTACGTATGAGGTAGCATGACAACCGGTAGCCTTTGCTTCGAAAGTGGTGGTGGTTGCGTGTGCCCCAATCTGCAGCATTGGTGCACTGACTTCGCTGGCTGTCCTTCTTTTACGTCTTTGATATTTCTCCGATAGCATTTGATATGAAAAATTATGGATCCAAAGCAAGTCACGACATCCCACACATAAAATCAGAATTTATACCAAAATATCACACGTCATGATATTTCGCATGTCTTATTCTGATAAATTCAGGACGTCACCACTCTCGCACGCAAGGTCAGAGCCCATGCGTGCTAAGACACTGTCCGACACGCCCATCACCTCAAACCGCGTACGACCCACCCTCATGCCATAGTATAAGAACCCTTCATGGATACCCACAAAAGGGAGATTTCGGGAGGGGAAAAACATTCAACTAACTTGCTCGTCGGAGGGGCCACGACCGGGGATCACCTGGTGAAGGCCTTTTTCTGCAGAAAAGCGGCCACCCACGATTCACGGGCACCCCAACCTCGAAAGCCGCCGACCGACGACCTCATAAGCGAGCCATCGACTATTCAGCCTCTAGGCTGAGGAACGCTGACCAAGAACCCGACACCGAGGGCCGATCGACGTTTCGGCATCCAGCTCAACCGACGGGACACTCTCGACATCGACCCGTGGACCAGGCCATGCTGACTAACGAGCCACGACACATCTGTTCACAAACAGTTTGGCACTAAAGGAAGGGCCATGTCGCAGGAGTTCCCCGCAAGAGTTTCCCCGGAAGGAGAGCTGCCGACCGATTGCCTCCCAACTCAACCTAGGGATAAGCCTCCCCCCGGAGGCGGAGGGGTTTCAGCCTCAATGCCAGATCGCTACTGGCGCCTATTCAATGACCCAGGACTGTCGCCCCCTGAACCTGCCGACGGGCCTTCAGCCGTGTCACCCGAGGCGTTCCTCGGCCTGACCAAGCAGGTCCAGGCGATTGCAAGAATGATGCAGACGCTCATCCCACTCATACCCCATATTGTACGACTAGCAGCTCCCCCGACCAATCCGGTAACACAAAGATCGAGCGGGGAGCAAGCCGGGACTGAAGAGGCCCGAGAGGCCCACCTAAGCGGGACACACCCGCACGCTGCCAATTCATGCCACCCTGCGCCGAGCCTGATCTCCTATCGCCGGACTCGGCGAATGACTCGCTCAGGATCCAGTTGTCCCGGGTCAACCAACGCCTGGACGAGTTCTAGCGCGAGTTCCAGAAGTCGCGGAGCGAGTCCAACGAAGGCGGCTCGGGCGGGTCCCCTTTCACTCAGGAAATACAGGGCAAGCTTGTACCCCTCAACTTCATGCTCCCCGCATTGGAGACGTACGATGGCAGCTTCGACCTCGTGGAGCATGTTGCCACATTTCGGGCTCAGATGGCCCTTTATGGCACCCCCGATGCACTGATGTGTCGGGCATTCCCGACCACTCTAAGAGGACCAACACGAGCATGGTTCAGCCGGCTACGCCAATCCTCGGTCTCGTCCTTCGACCAGCTCGCCGGGGAGTTCGAGCAAAACTTCCTCGCCAACACATGACTTAGGCCCTCCACGGCCACCCTGGTCATGCTATCCCAGCACGAAGACAAGTCGCTCTCTCAGTTCGTGGCACGCTTTGCCACTAAGATCCGGGGATTCCCGGACGCTCACCCCTCTCTTATCATGCAGGCGTTTCTGGTGGGCTTGAAGCCTTCAAGGTTCTTTTGGTCACTGATTGAGAAGCCGCAAGTAACCATCCTCGAGATGCTCCAACGCGCCAACCAGTACATCGCCGCCGAAGCTTTGGTGGCGGGAAAGCGCATGAACAGCAAGAGGCCAAGGGCGGAACAATCTCGGAGAACGACTTTGATAGCCCCGGTGCAACCTTACCAGAGGCCCGGCTGACAAGAGCTATTGCTCCCGAGGCCCTCACCTCTCCCTCTGAGCACGTTCCACCGAGACTATGGCCACGGCACGGAAGATTGCCGGGACCTCCAGAATTAAATCGAGGACTTGATCTAAAAAGGTCACCTTGGGCGCTATCTCAAGGAAACCCGAGCAGTAACCCCACGTCCCAAGGGACCCATTGAAAGTTGCCTCATCATCTAAAATCTCTCAACGAAAAAGCCACTCGCGACAAGAGGTCCATAGGCTCGCCAGATCGGTTCCCGACTTGTAACTCGCCGGCCCAACTTCTTGCCCGAGCCACTCCGTGTCAATCCCCGACTTGCGATTCGCAGGCCAAGCTTCTTGCCCGAGTCGCTCCAGATCGGTCCCCGACTTGTGACACGCTGACACAAAACCTGAGCCCGAGCATAGTCGCTCGGCCCACAAGGTTCAGCTCATGCCCGGGTCGCTACAGATCGCTCTCGACTTGCGACCCGTCAGCACCAAAACCTGAGCCCAAGCATAGTCGCTCGGCCCACAAGGTTCAGCTCATGCCCGGGTCGCTACAGATCGCTCTCGACTTGCGACCCGTCAGCACCAAAACCTGAGCCCAAGCATAGTCGCTCGGCCCACAAGGTTCAGCACATGCCCGGGTCGCTACAGATCGCTCTCAACTTGCGACCCGTCGGCACCAAAACATGAGCCCGAGCATAGTCGCTCGGCCCACAAGGTTCAGCTCATGCTCAGGTCGTTATAGATCGCTCTCGACTTGTGACCCGTCGGGACCAAAACCTAAGCCCGAGCATAGTTGCTCAGCCCACAAGGTTCATCTCATGCCCGGGTCGCTACAGATCGCTCTCGACTTGCGACCCGTCGGCACCAAAACCTGAGCTCGAGCATAGTCGCACGGCCCACAAGGTTCAGCTCACGCCCGGGTCGCTACAGATCGCTCTCGATTTGCCGACTCGACC